TACAAGCTATTCAAATCGTCCACACTAAGCATTAAAACATTAAAGCTACTTAAGTCTTTAATAAGCAGAAAAAATAGTCAGAAGTAAACGATAAAAAAAACGCTTTTTTGTTGCAGGTGTCTGCTTCATGATCGTTTTTCTTTCGCTTATAAAGTTGGCATTTGTCAAATATATGAGGCAACGTTTAAAACTGAACAAGTTAGCTTCTTCGAAGTATTTATCACTTTAAAATCTATGCTGTTGGTGATGACCATTATTTTAAGATATTTGCCTTTTGATGCCTATATCCAGTATTTGATCATAGTTAATGCTTATTTTGCAATATTTAAAGTATCAGTGAGAGCGGCCATCGTCTGTTATGTTGCAAAATATATTTCAAATCTCAAACGATGTTAAAGTGATCGAAGTGGTTAAATGAAAAGTAATCAAATAAACTTGGATACAGTTAAGCTAGGAATCAGTGAAATTTTTGCAGAGATACATCGTTGGTTGCCGGCTTTCTCCCGGTAGTCACCGTTGCAGCTGGACCATTTTCATGCGAAGAAAACGGTCTTCCATCGCATATTACAGCAAATAGTGCTCTAACAAAGTAAAATTTTGCTTTATTTATACTTTTTACAGACAAGGCAAAATTCCTTCTCAAGCAGCAATTTTGTTAAAGCTTTATTTTTTCTTTTCGCTTATTTTCTTTTGTCCTTTTTTATCTTGTTTCCTATACTTTACAAAAAAAAGTAAAATTTTTCCGCGTCTCAACAAGTTTAAATTCCATAACTTTCGCTTCGCTCCTCTCCTCTTCTTATTTTTTATCAGAAATAATGGCTTTACGTCGCTAACGATGGACGAAAAAACGGTAAAAGAAAAAAATAACCAAAATTTTCGGAATATTTTTTTAAAATGGGAATTCACAGCGAGATCGATGAGACGGTTTCACTGGATATCACAAGTGAGTGTTTTTAGGAAACAATAGAATAAAGCAAAGGAAGAAAAAGTTAAAGCAAATCAAATGACAAATAAATTGACTTTTTGTGCGACTGATAACTCAAATACTGCTTTTTTAGAAATTTATTTAAATAAAAACTAACAGCACAATTTTCTGAATTATTCTGCTATGAACAACAGCATTTTAACACTTTACGCTATGAGATAACAGCAAAAAATTTTACTGACCGATTCTTCACGAAGAAACATATTTCAAATAGCACTTTTTTTTGCACTTAAACTTCGAATGAGTCTTACAAGGTAAAAAACTCTAGAGCACAAACTATATACCTAAGTTTTGTGTTTTTTTTTTTTTGTTTTTTTTGCTACTGTAAGCAATAGCATTTAAAAGATTACAGATGGCAGTTCTATCTGTTTAGCGTTATTGTTGCCTTGGTAAAGAACAAAAAAAAGCAGAAAAAATTTATCGAAAACAAACTTTATTTGCTTTAACTGATTCTTGATTTACTTTTTATAACAGACAATAAGATTAAGAAAGAATAAATCTTCAAACATTTTTGATTTTTTACTTTTAGATGGTTTTCTTTTTCGGTTTTGTGCTATTCTGTATGTTCTACTTCCTGGTCTATCCAAACCTGCATATTGGTATGATAGATCAAGATGAAGAATGCGCTCGAGAAAAGGCAGAATTTTTTGCTGAACTTCAACCGAAACGATATCGGCACTAGGACCGGTTTCGTTTTCCATTCATCGCTAGTTTTTTTGCTTCTATTTTACTGTTAACAAAGTTTGTCTATTAAATTACTCCTGACAGCAGAATGGCAAAGATATTGAAGAATCAACGCTAAAACACTTCATTAAACGATGTTGTAGATAAAAACTACTTGAACTTTCTAAATACTTCATTTGTTACATCAGCTCTCTGAGTATGTCTGATTTAAGTGATTTATAATTGTAAAGCTACTCGAGTCTGGCGGGTATTAAATATTGTTAGGCTAATAGTTCACCAAGAGAACCATTGATTTCCAGTGCTTTCTTCGCTTACCCAAAAAAACTCTTAATATTTGATAAATTTATGACCTCAGTAATCAGCGAAAAAGTCTCTTTCAAAACGACAGACACTAAACAATCTTTATAAAGCCATCAAACAAAAAATCCAATTGAAAGTTCACACTTCACTAAAAATTCTATAGCTTACAAGAAAGACTTGATAACTGCAAAGAAGAAAGACAAAAGTTAGTTGTTTCTATCCAATTTTTTGCCATTACTGTGACTCTATCGTGTTAATGATGTATAATCGATAATAAATTTCTATTCAATTCTGGCGTAATTTAACCAAATATTATTGATAACTGTTCAGCAAAAAAAAAAA